TGTACATCCAACAAACTATCTGTGCATCCATCTGTACATCCAACCATCTATACATCCATCCATCTGTACATCCAACCATCTATACATCCATCCATCTGTACATCCAACCATCTATACATCCATCCATCTGTCCATCCAACCATCTATACATCCAACTGTACTTCCAACCATCTATACATCCATCTGTATATCCAACCATCTGTACATCTATCTGTACTTCCATCCATCTGTCCATCATCCATCTGTACATCCAACCATCTTTACATCCATCCATCTGTACATCCAACCATCTGTACATCCATCCATCTGTACATCCATCCATCTGTATATCTATTTATACATCCATCCATCTGTGCATCCATCCATCTATACATCCATCCATCCATCTGTACGGCCAACCATCTATCTGTACATCCAACTGTACATCCATCCATCTGTACAGCCAACCATCTATCTGTACATCCAACTGTACATCCATCCATCTGTACATCCATCCATCTATACATCCATCCATCCATCTGTACATCCAACCATCCATCTGTACATCCAACCATCCATCTGTACATCCAACCATCCATCCATCCATCTGTATATCCAACCATCCATCCATCCATCTGTACATCCATCCATCCATCGAACCAACCACCAAAACATGTTTATACATCCATCTGTACATCCAACCATCCATCCAACCAACTATCCATCCAACCATCCATCTGTAAATCCATCCATCCATCCGTACATCCAACCATTCATCCATCTATCTGTACATTCAACCATCCAGCCATCCAACCAACTCTCCAACCATCTGTACATTCAACCAACCATCCATCCATCTGTACATCCAACCATTCATCCATCCAAACATCTGTACATCCATCCAACAATCTGTACATCCAACCATCCATCTGTACATCCATCCAACCATCTATACATCCAACCATCCATCTGTACATCCATTCAACCATCCATCCATCCAAACATCCATCTATCTGAACATCATCCAACCATCTGTACATCCAACCATCCAATTGTACATCCAACCATCCATCCATCCATCCATCTGCACATCCAACCATCCATCCATCCAACCAACCAACCCTCCATCCATCTGTACATCCAACCAACCATCCATCCATCTGTACATCCAACCATTCATCCATCCAAACATCCATCTGTACATCCAACCATTCATCCATCCAAACATCTGTATGTCCATCCAACAATCTGTACATCCAACCATCCATCTGTACATCCATCCAACCATCTATACATCCAAGCATCCATCTGTACATCCATTCAACCATCCATCCATCTGTACATCCATCCAACCATCTGTACATCCAACCATCCAATTGTACATCCAACCATCCATCTGTACATCCAACCATACATCCATCCGTCCATCCATGGCTGTTGGCGGCCATCTTGACTTTAAAATGTGATCAGTAGTAGACATTCAGTTTAGCTAACTGTAGGTATATATGTGGATCTCAGACTACTGAGGCTTCTCATATTTATCTAAATTCTATTATTTCTTCGTAGTTTTTATACTGTATGTCAGCAGGTCACAGATATGCAAAACAACTGAAACCTCTTGAATCAATATAAAAAGTGTCTTAAAGATACACGACAAAAAATCTACACAGTATCATCACTGTCATATTCTTTCTAGATAGGATTTTTTTTAAACTTTGAAAATCTGATATTTTATGTAAATATTTCAGTTTATAAAATTCTTCATGACATTTCTGCTCCACGTTTAACAAAGTTTGTCTCTTGAAGATGAGATAACATGACTGGAGTCACGAGGGCGACCTCTACAGGTCCCAAACTGTAGGACTGCTGCCTTCTCTTTTGTTGTCATGAATCTTTGGGATAGTTTGACAAATGGGATTATAACATGTTCCAGTTATAAAATGTTTGCACATTTGGCTGTTAAATAAGCAGATTTGTACTCACTATTGATGCACTAAAGCAAAGAGATTATTTTATGATTGTCTGTTGGTTTGTTTGGTTTTAGTGAGATCTGAATAAAGACTCTCAGATACCACAGCAGATGTCAGCTCTACATCAGTAAAATCAACTGATTTAATTTGTTTTGTGTGTTCCAGTTCAGACCTGGCAGGGCTGTGGGTCTTCAGAACCAGGTTCTTCTGGATCAGGGTGCTGACCGAGGACCAGGCTGTGTACTTGCTGCCCAGGTCCGGCTGCGGACGGATCAGAGGAAAGTCTGAGACCAGCCGACAGTTTGAGACACAAACCTGGGAGGACTGAGAGGTCTCACCACGGTGAAAGACTTGTTGCAGAGACTCTGAGCTTCGGCCTGCAGCTCCATCTTAAACATGAAACCTTTGTTACCTGGAATCTGTAAAATAAACAAACAAACAAACAAATAAACACACTGAAATAACAACAACAATCAGATTCACAGAAGCTCAAACCTGTGAGTGTCGGTAAAGAGCGAGCAGCACGGCGTATCCTCCTGACCTCTTCTGAGGTACGTAATCCCTCTTCTTCCTCTTCCCTCCTCCTCTTCCTCCATCTTTCTCTTCATCACCTGCAGGGTTCTTCTACACACACATAAAGATAAAGTAAAAAAGATAACAGAAGATGATGTTTATTTTGTTTTTTATGGGTAAAGATAAAAAACATATCTTCATTTAAGGAGGTCCATGGAAGATCCTGCAGCTCCCCCTGCTGGTCCTCAGACGACACGCAGCTCAGAAATATTTAATATGAATGAATAAAAAACACAAATTTAAATAAATTTGCTTCATCTGGAAAAATTTTGTCAATATTTTATTTTTATGTGGTCTTTTTAATCAAGTAATCTACTTTTAATTTTATCTATGTGTAGTTTGTGTATTTTTAATATAAAATTGCCTTTTATTGATTACCTTTGTTGTTATTTAATTTATTAATGTGAAAATGACAGAAAGCCTGAACAGCTTCAGCCACAATCAGTTAAATGTTCAGACGTCATTAAATCCACAACGCTCACTTTGTTTTTGGTCCAAAAATATAAAATATGAACATCGTTCAATATAGTAACTTATGTTTCTACTTTTATTTACATTTACATGGTGAACTTTTTAAAAAGGATTTAAAAAGTGATGATGGATGGATGGATGGATGGATGGATGGATGGATGGATGGATGGATGGATGGATGGATGATGGATGGTTGGATGATGGATTGATGATTGGATGATAGATGGATGATGATGGATGATAGATGGATGGATGATGGATGGATGATGGATGGATGATGGTTGGATAATAGATGGATGGATGATGTTTGGATGATGGATTGATGGGTGGATGACAGATGGATGGATGATGGATGGATGATGGTTGGATAATAGATGGATGGATGATGTTTGGATGATGTTCGGATGATGGATTGATGGTTGGATGATAGATGGATGGATGATGGATGGATGATGGTTGGATAATAGATGGATGGATGATGTTTGGATGATGGATTGATGGGTGGATGATGGTTGGATGATGTTTGGATGATGGATTGATGGTTGGATAATGGTTGGATGATTGATGGATGTTTGGATGATGGATTGATGGTTGGATGATAGATGGATGGATGATGGATGGATGATGGTTGGATGATAGATGGATGGATGATGTTTGGATGATTGATGGATGGATGATGGATGGATGGATGATAGAAGGATGGTTGGATGATTGATGGATGGTTGGATAATGGTTGGATGATTGATGGATGTTTGGATGATAGAAGGATGGTTGGATGATTGATGGATGGATGATGGATGGTTGGATGATAGATGGATGGTTGGATGATAGATGGATGGATGTAACTTTATGAGCAGAGATAAACTGACCTTCCTGGAAGGAGCCAGGCTGATGTTGTTGGTTCTGCCAGCAGGGGGCGCTCCTAACGGGATGCTGTGAATCTGAGCATCTGCACCTAAAGAGGAAAGATTTTTAAATTGTCTTTATGCCACAGACATCCGGTCCAGCACTGGATGTCCTCTGGAGGAGGTCTTTCCTCTCGTCTTGGCAGTAAAAGGGGATAAATGTACATTTCCCTTTTGTAACCTCCATCTTCTCATTTCTGATGCTGACTCTTGAATATCCTCAGGTTAGAAATGCTGATTACAAACACAAGCCTGAGCTTTTAAAGATAAGTTTCCCTGTAATGCTATGATCTACAGCTGTCACCTCCTCATCTAAAGGAAATGTATAAAAACTAACTACTGATCGTACTGCTGGTTAGTGGACACAACGGCACACAACAGAACTCATGTTTTATACCAGTAGATCACAGATACTTTAACTTTTGTGACTTTTTCACGGACTAGTACTAGCAGCTAACGTTAAAACCATAGGCAGTAAGCAGGAAGTGGAAGGGAGGAGCGTGGCAAGAATTTTACTGGAAATACGTCATTAATGACCGTGGTATATAGGCTGTTGGTTTTGACCTGAAATAAAAATTATTTAATGTTGTTTTTATTTTGAGTGTTTATAACTTCAGTCACAATTTTATTTTAAATAATTTGAAGAAATAAAACAGATTTTAATTAAACAAAATGCTGAAAGTTACTGTGATGAAGAATTTAACAGAGGCAGAGCTTGATGTTTTTAAACTGGAAATGGACTGAAATACTGCATCCAACCATCAATCATCCATCAATCAACCATCCAACCATCCATCATCCAACCATCCATCATCCAACCATCAATCATCCATCAATCAATCATCCAACCATCTATCTATCATCCAACCATCCATCAATCATCCATCCATCCATCAATCATCCATCCATCATCCAACATCCATCATTAAACCATCAATCAATCATCCAACCATCCATCATCCAACATCCATCATCCAACCATCAATCAATCATCCAACCATCCATCCATCATCCAACCATCAATCAATCATCCAACCATCCATCATCCAACCATCAATCATCCAACCATCAATCATCCATCCATCCATCATCCAACCATCCATCATCCATCATCCATCAATCAATCATCCAACCATCCATCCATCATCCAACCATCAATCATCCATCCATCCATCATCCAACCATCAATCATCCAACCATTCATCAATCATCCATCCATCAATCATCCATCCATCCATCCATCATCCAACCATCCATCCATCATCCGTCCATCAATCATCCATCCATCCATCATCCATCCATCCATCATCCAACCATCCATCCATCATCCAACCATCAATCATCCATCCATCCATCATCCAACCATCAATCATCCATCCATCCATCAATCATCCATCCATCCATCATCCAACCATCAATCATCCAACCATTCATCAATCATCCATCCATCCATCCATCCATCATCCATCCATCAATCATCCATCCATTCATCAATCATCCAACCATCCATCAATCAACCATCATCAATCATCCAACCATCCATCAATCATCCATCCATCAATCATCAATCCATCCATCATCCATCATCAATCATCCAACCATCTTTCATCCAATCGTCATCCAACCATCCATCATCAAATCATCCATCCATCAATCATCCAACCATCCATCATCAATCATCCAACCATCTATCTATCATCCAATCATCATCCAACCATCCATCATCAAATCATCCATCAATCATCCAACCATCCATCAATCATCCATCCATCAATCATCAATCCATCCATCATCCATCATCAATCATCCAACCATCTTTCATCCAATCGTCATCCAACCATCCATCATCAAATCATCCATCCATCAATCATCCAACCATCCATCATCAATCATCCAACCATCTATCTATCATCCAATCATCATCCAACCATCCATCATCAAATCATCCATCAATCATCCAACCATCCATCAATCATCCAACCCTCCATCCATCATCCAACCATCCATCAATCATCCAGCCATCTATCTATCATCCAACCATCAATCATCCATCCATCAATCATCCAACCATCAATCATCCAACCATCAATCATCCAACCACCCATCATCAAATCATCCATCTATCAATCATCCAACCATCCATCATCAATCCATCAATAATCCAACCATCCATCTATAATCCAACCATCAATCCTCCATCCATCAATCATCCAACCATCAATTATCCAAACACCCATCATCAAATCATCCATCTATCATCCAACCATCAATCATCAAATCATCCATCTATCTATCATCCAACCATCAATCATCAAATCATCCATCATCCAACCATCCATCTATCGTCCATCCATCCATCATCAAATCATCCATCCATCAATCATCCAACCATCCATCTATCATCCATCCATCCATCATCCAACCATCCATCAATCATCCAACCATCTATCATCCAATCGTCATCCAACCATCCATCATCATTCATCCATCCATCATCCAACCATCAACCATCCAGCCCTTCCTTACCGTTCTCTCTGTAGTATCTCAACAGTCGATCCTCTAATATTTTGCAGATTCCATCTCCAAAGTTTTGCAGGATCTTTGCTTCTCTCGGGCTCTGAAGCGGAAGTGGATATTTATTCAAAGAGTTGATTGCCTGGAAACACACAGAACCACAGTGCTCGGATTTATAATTTAATAAATTTAAAAAAATAAACACAAGTTTATTTTTCTGTACATAGGTTTTGTACAAGTTTTTATTGTAGCAAATAATTTAGAATACTGCTGTTTATAAAGGCTGAACTTTAAAATAACCTAACTCAGCCCGGACCTTCTGGTAGGTGTACTGGATCTTCAGCCCCTTCTCTTTAGCTTCGTCCCGGAGTTCGGTGAGCCACTTCAGGAACAGCGGGTTCGGGCAGGACGGCAGGACACGTTTCCGACCCAACCGAACCGGTTCCGAAGCTGACATTCCCGTGGACCCGAAGGAGCAGGGAAAACATGAAATAAAAACGACTAAACACAAGAAAATTACAGCGCAACGGCAGCTAGCATTAGCATTAGCTGCTGGCGCCTTTGTTTTCAAAAGGAACGAGGCACTTCCGCATTGACGCGAGTCACGTGACGTGGGGTTTGAAACAAGAAGCGACACCAAGCGGTGAGAGAAGGAAGCGCAGCAAAACACAATGAGAAAGTAAAGTTTTTGAGGAAGTTTGAAATATTTTTCTGCACTACTGCAGTGATATTAATATTATATTTACACATATAATACAGATTATTAAGCAAACAGTTATAAACTCCACTCAATGTTTAATTTCTTAGATTTGTGATTATGCTTCTTGTAGTTTTTTTTTTAAATCATAAATCATAAATAATTTACTGCTGAAACAAATCAGAAGGTATTTATCCTATATATTGTTTAAGTATTATTATTTATTAATTTTATTTATTTATTTATTTTATGTCCTGATGCATCTCAGTAATCCAGGTTGAAAAATCAAAAAAGAAAAAAATTGTATAGGTCTTCTGGACGGGTTCTTCTCTAATGAAACGTTTCGTCTCTCCTCCAAGAGACTTCTTCAGTCTGAGAGTTTCAGGCAAAATTCAGGCTTTTAAGCCCTGCCTCCATGTGACTGATACTCACATCACATGGCTATCGTTGACACCTAATTAACACCTATTGTTAACGGGGTGGAGTGATACTGGCAATAGCAGCACTGTAGGAGGGGGACAACTGAAAACGTTTTATTTTTTTATCTATCATGTCTTGGATGACTGAGAATCTACAGAAAAACTTCTAAAGCTCAATAAAAAAAACCTTTAGATTTCCCATCAACCCAACAGTAAAAGTGTCAGAAAACCCAGACGTTTCCATCTTCTTGGAGACAATCGGAGTCAGTTCAGTTTCCAGACCGTTATCCAGGCTGTCGGCTAAGTCCTGTTGTTTCCTCAGGCTGGAGGCGGCTGGAATCCTCCAACAAGACTCGACAGAGACCAGGAATCCAGACCTCACCCTGCAGGCCGCAGAGCTGCTGCCTTTCTCAAACACTCACCGGAGAGGCCTGAACAGCCGAACGCCTCCACCAAGAAGACTTCCTGAGGAAGAGTCTGAACTGAACCTTTAATGCTGCACTAAGATGATTGAACTGTGAATAATCTTTTGTTTTTAGAGCAGTAATTTGAATCCTTTAAAGTGAAGTTCAGTAACAAGGTTGAGGAGCTAACGGACGGTCTGACAACCAGGATCGCATGAATTTCATAACTATTCGTGCAAAAGCTGCTTTATAAGCCGCGACATCACCATCAAGTGCACGTTGCATCATTCTTTACAGAGAAATCTTGGTATTAAAAGCTAGCCTGTTTTGACTGTAGCACTTCCTGTCTGCTGGACACCTTTTGAATTCATTAAAGGTTCATTTAAAAAAAAGAAAAATTAGCATTAGCATGTATCGTGATATTTTAAAGATCACTTGTTTTGAGAAGCTACTCTTGGTGTTCATTAGTTTGCCGTTAGCTTGTTGATCCAATCATAAATAAACATATTTTTCCTCCAAACTGATATTAAATGTTTCTTACCTTTTTCACAATGTGTCACACTGAAGCGACATGAATGTCACCTGTGATATATAAAATAACTGGAAACAGGACCAGAACCTGGAAGCTGAAGTCCAAAAGGACCAAATAAGATGAAATCTAACACTGCAATTTATTTATTTATTTATTTTTAGTGTATTTTGACAAAAACTATCAGTGGTGGGCAAAGCTTACCACAAAGTTCAGTTCGCTATTAATCCGTTAAACAAGAATGTTAGCCTGCTAACGCTAAACTGCTATACAGATATTTTAAATGTGTAATTTAGAGGAAGCTAATGCTAACCGCTAAGACAAATGTCACTGTGAAGGTGGGCGGGATCATCTGTGGGGAATCAGCCAATCCAAACCAGAGTTATAGCTCTGTCCAACTTGTGACACTTCCAGTTTATCCCTTTCAGAATAAAAGCATTCCTTTGATTGAGTTTGTATTTTAATAAATTCCTTTTAAAGTTATAGTCAAACAATAAATGGTAAATACCTTCTTAGGAAGTCGATTTTTGTATTTGTTATTGAAATATTGTTAAACGTTGATTTATTTTCGATTTGAGCTGCTAAAGATGCTACATGCTAACACGGCGTGTGGCACATTAAGCAAACAGTTTTTATTTAATTGAAAAATAGACGTGTTACCCTCGTGAATTTTTTCAGTGGACTCAAATATTTGTACGTTAAAAAATCCGAAGTTAGGAAAAATTACAAAGCTAATCCGCTAAATGAGAAGCTAGTTTAGTTTTTCTGTTAGCTGATTAGCAGAACGGTGTCCCTTTCTCATCCCTAAAAGACGTGTTTGAGGACAGGAAATCACCCAGAAGGACAAAGAGCCAAACATTAAAGAGTTTTTTTTCTCATCAAACCGCTCACACATGTAGATGCTGACTAAAACTAATCTCATCTTTTTTTAAACCACAGCCTAATTATCAGACAGACGCTCCAAACACACGGGCGTGAACCGCTTCTGTTGATTTCTCAACTTTTTATTTTAAAATATGTAATTATTGGTTTATAAGCGCGGCAGCCGACAGATCCTCGTGTGTCCTGGTTGATCCTGGTCTGACTCTCAGACATGATGTTGAAATGATGGAGCTTTAGTGAAAACCTGACTCACGCTGCTGGTTTGGATCTGCTTCATGGTTCGTTCACATGTTGCAGCAGAACTGCCTGCAGTAAAAATGCAAGAGTTGCTTCAGATTTTTATGTTTTTCACCCTCCTGCTGGCCTCGCGTCAAAACGACACACAGTTTCCAGCTCACTTTAAGAGTTAACTGGTCTTTTTAAGGAAATAAATAACAATAAAACAGTGTCATATATTACTCCCTTTAATTTCATAAAGTATTTTCATAAAAAAACGTTTCTCTTCTGCTGTACAGACAAGCCCACAGGTAAATAATCTCCCCCAAACTAACATATAGATGAGCCGAAACATTATGACCAGAAGAAAACATAATTGTCGGACAAACAAACAGGAAGTCGTCTCTTTAAGTGGCTTTAAATCTAAAACCCTACATGAGCACCATCGAAGGGGGTCATAATGTTTTGGCTCAGCCTTATTAAAATCCATCACAAAGTAGGAAAACCCAAATCCTTCATAAATATCCACATATATACAGTAAACATTTTAGATTGGATGTTTCTGTCCCTTTAAGTGTCGATCTACTGCCCGGCCGACCCGTTGGTGTCGTCGCTGTCGCCGTCCTGCGGAGAACCCGGCATGGATCCCCCGGTGCCGCCGCCGCCGCCGCCGGCCGCCACCTTCCTGGCAGCTTTGCCCTTCAGCAGCGGGCTGTCGGGGTGCTGCGAGTGCAGGTGCAGCAGCAGCTGGTCCTGGGTGGCCGCCGTGTGGCCGCACTCCTCGCAGACGTACAGCTTGTTGCGTCGCTCCTTGTAGGCGTACTTCAGCGTGACGCCGTGGATCTTCTTCATGTGGGACTCCAGGGAGCAGCGCTGCGTGAACGCCTTGTCACACAGCGTGCACTTGTACGGGCGCACGCCTGCAAGAAGGAAAATGTTAGTTTGTTTTCCCGCAGAAAGAGTAAGAATCGTGCAACACTAATCGTTGCTGACACGACAATAATACCAGGGTTCCTACAGCTTAAAACAAGTTAAATTTAGGACTTTTTAAGACCTGTTTAATGCGACTTGAAACTTATTTTAAGACCAAAAAGAAAAAAACTTGTATAGGTCTTCTGGACGGGTTCTTCTCTAATGAAACGTTTCGTCTCTCCTCCAAGAGACTTCTTCAGTCTGAGAGTTTCAGGCAAAATTCAGGCTTTTAAGCACTGCCTCCATGTGACTGATACTCATTTTTTTTAAAAAAGGAGCTCCGATTGTAAAGTAAAATAAATCAATACATACAAAATTTTACTATGGATTACAAACATTTACTG